GCTCTCCCCCAGTTGACTCCCTCCCTTGTAGCTGCAAACATTGAACATTGCTTTCCAATGAGTGGTCTGCAAATTACTATTGCCTATTATGAGAGGGAGCCAGCTCCACTTGTCATCATCACAGTGAGCATCACATAGTTGTCACTTGTCCCCCTTGCTCTTCGGGGTGCTATGCTACCGTGGAAGTGAACTTTCAGTGATAGAAGCCATTGGTTTCTCCCGACAGGACCTCATAAGCAGAGACCAGAATAATCTCTATCAGAACAGACCATATTAGGATATTAAGCATACCCAGCCCACCCCAGACTTGTATTACATGTATACAGAATGTCCCCATCCTTGAAGAGGACCCAGAACAGCACACGGTCAGCAGCAGACTTCTCCAGTCAAGGAAACAAAGGCTTGAGAGGACTTGGGATTTGCCTGAAGCCAGAAAGCTCTCTCACAGAACACTGATGGTAATGGGGTTGATCATGTATATTCTTTGTACCTCTGTGGTCTTAACAAATGTCAGTCACACGAAGCTGAGAGAACCCTGATCTAACTTACAAATATCCAGAGCTCTCTGATCTTATTGAAGCTGCTCGGTGAATAGCAAGATGGGATTTTTTAATTCAGGACTTCTCATTCAACACAGCTCCTGAACTGGGATTTTCCTGCTGAACTACCATGACCCGATTGAGCTCTTAGAGCAATGGATGAAAACGCTCACAAGTTTAGCAGCTGAGTGGGTTCAGAACACCTCCAAACTGCCCAGCCTTTGACTTCAGACAGGTTAATTGGCTTTGCTGGATATCTTCATCTGCAATATGGGATATGAGAGCAATAATGTATTTCATTGTGCTTTTATTAGTACTAAGCAAGAAAACACATGTAAGGGGGTACAGCAGTGACTGGCCAGTACATCTGGGAAATATTAAATTTTAGCCATAGCTGTGTTACTACTCAAGGGTACAAACTAGGCTTTATGTGTCATTGCAAGCCATGGCCAATCACAGTGATTGACACACTGACATGTGTGCAGGATTGCAGACACTCCACGTGACAAAATAAATCTTGTGATGTGACAGGAAGCAAGTTTTCTCCTTTCTGGGCCTTAGTAACTACATCTATAAATTGAAAAGGTTGAACAAGGCCAACCTCAATTCTCCATAGAACTGACTGGTTAACAGTATGAATGTTTTTGCTTAGAGAAAACACCTAGAAAAATACCCGGGGATGTTTTGGATTGGCACAATGGGGAGGGGCTGCTAATGTCTTGATGCCCCCCAGTTGCTGTGGGACAATGATCTTGTACCCTATAAAGATTTATCAGTTGTATTGCTTTAATATAATGCTGATTGGCCAATAGCTAGGCAGAAAGTATAGGTGGGGTGACCAGGCAGGAAGTAGAGGCAGGGCAAGGAGAAGAGGAGAATTCTGGGAAGAGGAAAGATCAGTCTGTCATCGTAATCCAGACACAGAGGAACCAAGATGAGAATGCCTCACTGATAAAAGGTACCAAGCCATGTGGCTAACACAGACAACAATTATGGGTTGATGCAGGATGTAAAAGTTAATAAGAAGCCTGAGATAATAGGCTAACCAGTTTATAATTAACATAGACCTCTGTGTGTTTCTTTGGGACTGAATGGCTGCCGGACCAGGCGGGACAGAAACCCATGTCAACATCTACTTTAGTAGAGGCCAGAGAGAAAATGCATAGGACAGGCTCACCTAACAAAAAGAATCATTCTGCCCCAAATGTCAGTAATAGGAAGCTACGAGACCTTGATCTGACTTACAAATACCCAGAGCTCTCTGATTTGCTGGACAATGGCCTTGTGTTTGCCAAGTTGCCAAGATGCCCAGGAGAACAGAACTCCTCGATGCAGTAGAATGGGCTATTGATTGTCCCTTGTGCTGACACGTCATGCTCTCAACTATCATCATATTGATCGAATTGGAAGCAAGAAGTTGGCCCAAGGCATCTTTAATTTAAAGTTGGAATTATTCCTGTACATCACAGAAGCCCACAATGGCTCTGCCAAAGGTAGGGAGGACATTCCTCTACCTAAGACTCTAGAGCCTGGGACAGAGACAAAGTCTCTATAGATGTGGTGTCCACATCACCAGATCTGTCTCAGCATAATTCTTAGTTTCCTGTCCTGTCTCAGTTCACATCCTGCAGAGGCAGCTCAGCCCCCTGGGGATCAGGAAGAGGGCACACTGGACAGTGGAGTGGCTATTGCAACCTTAAGTAAGTTCATGGCCTATGTACACGGCAGGGTGGTGGTTTCCTTGTTCTCATCAGCTGCAAAGGGAAGGATGCCCCTGAAGGTACTAACATCACATGATTCCAGGTTTGTTTGTCTTGAGGAACTAGAACAGTGATTCTCAACCTGTGAGTCATGACATCAGATATCCTGCATATCAGATATTTACATCATGATTCATAGCAGTAGCAAAATTATGGTTATAAAATAGCAGTGACATAACTTTATGGTTGGTGTCACCACAATGCGAGGAAATGTATAAAAGGGTTACAGTGTTAGCAAGGTCAAGAAGCACTAAGCCAGAGGCTTAAAAACACATGCACTTTAAAAGGTTCTGTTCCCTCATTTCTCTTTCTCAGTCCTCCTCATCCCCACCTCTCCACTCCAACACAGTCTCAGTTTTACTGGAAAGAACACAAATGAGGAGTGGGTGTGGTATCCAGTTCAGATAATGCCACTTTCACTTCTTCTATGTGTGTATCTGCATATCTACACATACAGACACATGCTTAGATACAGATACATGCTTCCAGCTGTTCAATGGGGATTCACATGGCTGTGGCGAGCACAGAAGGATGCTGAAGCGAAGATTTTTGGGGGTAGTCATTAGTGAGATGCATTGCCTTCCTGACTCTAAGCCACAAGGATTATGGCATGGCCACATGGGAGGTGTTAACATCCCCTTACACTCATTGGTATTGTAGGCTTGTCTCTCAGGGTGATCTCTAACTCCAGCCACCCAGACATCAGCGATTCTCTGCCTCAATCCACAGAACCCTAGGGATTCACTGCTTGAAGGCTCAGCAGCTCCAAGCAGCACTCTCTAGTCTCTACCAGGCTGCCTGACAAGGGAACACTGGAAATGGTAAGTCAAAATAATCCACCCACGAAGCAGGCTTGTTCTGAGGCTACTACTGGCCCTGCCTACCAATGGATGGGAAGCCCTATTCTTTGGGCTATCCATTGGAAAAGAACATCTGGCCATAAAAAAAGCTCTAGTTCCTGAGAACTGCTTGTCTAGAACAACAGGCAGCTCAGGCACCTGACACTCCTTATGTTTAGTGATCAGACTAAAGCGAGACCCAAAGAGGCATTTCAGTCCAAAAGGATGGATGTGAGTCTTGCTATGCAGTTAATATTCTTACTGGTACTGGATGTCATTCCTCAATGAATACTATGTGTCATGAACATATATCCCCTCCAGACCTTCTAACTAAGTCTTCATAAACCCCTACCCCAGCATCCTCCCTTTCTCTCCAGTGAATCCAGTCCAGTTGGCACTGCCTATTTGCATATATGTGTGGGGTCATCCACTGCAACATGGGAAACCCACCAGCAGCCATACCCCCCAGTTGTCAATAACTCCTCACATAGGGCTCAGGGCTCAGGGCCCATCTCCTATGCATGCTGGAATTTTAACTGGTCTGATCTTGTTCTGGGGACCACTGCTCCTGTGAGTTCAAGTCTGCAGCATTCTTGTCATGTCCAGAGAAAGAACAAATAAAACTCAGAAATACAAACAAAATAATAAAAAATTTCATTCCTGTTGCGGTTACTGTGGTATGGAGTTCTTCTATATACAACTGAATACAGACAGATCCTTAGCATGGGATGAGGAATAGACTTCACAGAAAGCACCTAGGAAATCTTGTTGCCCAATTGGGGAAGCAGTAGTCGTAGTCAAGATTCTACCTGTGCACACCGCAAGGACAGGGGATGGGTGATAGGTATTTGTCAAGAGAGACTCTCCTCAAAAGAGGTTTTCTTGGAGGAAACCAAATCCTTGCATAGTTATTAAATCAGAATTTTTTTTAAAGATTTATTTATTTATTATGTATACAACATTCTGCCTCGATGTATGCCCACACGCCAGAGGAGGGCGCCAGATCTCAGTACAGATGGTTGTGAGCCACCATGTGGTTGCTGGGAATTGAACTCAGGACCTCTGGAAGAACAGCCAGTGCTCTTAACCTCTGAGCCATCTCTCCAGCCCTTAAATCAGAATTTTTAAAAAACTATAATCATTACAAAGAAGGATCATCACCCTTGCTCATTGAAAAGTCATCAAACACGTGATCACCCAGAGCTGAGACCTTGGCATGCTATTTATAAAAATATGAAAGGAATGGAGATACAAAGACAGACAGCTTGGTTCAAGTCGCTTTCCCATGTCATTCCTTGTACAAGCTGTTGTTGGCCTGACTTCAGGGTGGGCCACATCTGGAAGGTTCTAGAACAAAGCTGTCTTCTAATCTCTGTTGGGTTAACACTAGGGTGTGTCCTTGGCTACTCCTATTTTCAGGCTGCATAATCTCATAGGATCTGCTTGGGTGGCTACACTATTTTGTCTTTTTCCCTTCCTTGCCCACATTCTGCTGATAAAACCCATTTTTCTGGCATATGAAATTGATTTCATGGCAGCTGTTTAACATTCTCTTTAGCTGTTCGCTCCTTGGCTCCATCTGGACCTCAGGACATGAATATCTTTAACTTTCACACATTAAATGCCCAGTCTGACAGCTGGTCCTCTGGCCTTTGGAAGGACCACTAGCCAGGGCAGTCTGGGGGACCCACAGATCAAGGCCCGAGGCACCACCTGGGGATATTAGCAGTAATGGTTCAATCTGGACCTACCCATTAAAGGACAATTGTGAGTCTTAAGTAGATGTTAGAGTCTGGAAATGTGCATTCCAAAGCCAAATAACCTTCTCAAAAAAATCGATTGGAACCTTGGGAAAGACTTACCCATGCTTCCCTGGAGTAGGCACCAGGAGAATCTCTCTTCCAGCTTCATTGTGGGGCAGTAGCTGGGCAATGTATCTCCCGGAGGGTTGGAGATGTCTGTGCACTGAGACAGCCAGTGTGCAGTGCTCGCTGCTGCTCCTCATCCAGGGGCTCAGAATGGTGTGCTTGGAGTCTGCAGAGGTGTTCAGCAGAAGGAAGGAGCCTGGGAAGAGGAAAGAGCAAATCTGAAGATGTGTCCAAACAGGAGGGCAAGAAGCAGTTTCGTGGAAGGGTACTGCTTTATTTGTACATCCACATCCAGTCCAGTCGGTCCTGGAGGAGGTGGATGGCAACCGAGGACATGACCTTGACAATTGTTCAGGACAAAGTTCTAACCTTTGGTGGTTTAGATGAGAATGGCCCCCATAGGGTCATACATTTGAATGCTTGGTCACCAGGGAGTGGAACTGTTTGAAAAGGATTAGGAGGTGTGGTCTTGGAGGATGTGTGTCACTGGAGATGGGCTTTACGGTTTTTGAAAGGCCGGGACAGGTCCAGTGATTCTCTCTTCCTGCTGCCTATGGATCTGGATGTAGAATTCTAACCAGCACCATGTCTGCCTACATGTTGCCATGCTCCCCACCATGATGACAATGGACTAAACTTCAGAAACTGTAAAGAAGCCCAGAGAAATGCTTTCTTTTTAAAGAGTTGCAATGGTCATGGTGTCTCTTCACAGCAATATAACACTAAGACATAGCTTAGCATCCCCTACTTAACTGGTTCTATGCTCCTATGCCCTTAAGCCTTGGAGTGGTTTTGTTAGTTTGCTTTTTGTTTTTAGCAAAACAGGAAAAAAGCCTCTTTTTCAAAGGAATACTCTTTCTGCTTAGTAGCTGAGTGATTTGAGGCTAAACAATAGCTCTCTTAGCTTTTGGCTTTAGAAGGTTTGAGAAAGTTTAGTTTGAACTCAGTAATCTCGGCAGCTCCATTTCAGATCCCAAGTCTCTCAGTCATGTGACTTGGCAACTGGTTCTCACAAAGCAAGACCCAGAACTCCCCATTGATGCCACACATGTGGCAGAGCCTCCTGGGACGAGCTGCATCTGAGTAGCTCAGGCTAGATGACCTATAAGAAACAGACATTCCTGAGATCGCAGCTCGCATAAAAAGCGTGGCAGCGTTTTATTGTTCCAGGCACTCCCTGCAATGAATGCATTAGTTTTCACTCGCAGTGCTCCTGCATTGAGCTTTTCCACCAGCAGATGCTGCTCCTTTTGCAGCAGAGAGACTTAGTGCCTTGACCCCTGACTTCCCTTGTGGGAACAAGCTAATGAGGACTCAGCCTTCTCAAAGCGCCTCCGGTACTCGCCAAGGCTTCAATTCACTTTCCCAACTAGGCAAATGAACTGACAGTCTGGGGTGAAGAGCGGTGAAGAAGAGAGCATAGAATCCTTACCAGGAGCAACATTTAGAGAAAGATGGCATTGCTCCAAGAATCGGAAATTTGCAACATGGTAAAAGTAGGTAGCGGTAACTTAAGGTTCAAGTGAGGATGAAGTGAGAGCAAGGAGGCTTCTGAACCATTTGGAGGACGTGGGGTCAGAGCTAGAATCTGCACTCCACATGTGTTAAAACATTTTAACATGGCCTGTGGGTATCCGGAAAACGGCTCCATAACTCTCGCTACATACTCTATATCTAACCCTCGGTTTATAGAGGAGGGAGTATGTTCTCGCCATGAGCATAGAGCACAAGAGAAGAGGTTAGAACTCCTGACCCCGAGCTGGGCATGCCATCTAGTACAACCCTTAGCTTCTAAAGAGAGGCAGACTATTGACCCAGATGGGGTACTAATGGGTCCAAAGTGTTTGAAAGTCAGGATCAGCCCGCCAGGCCTCCGGAATCCCAAGCAGTGCTCTCTCCCTGGCATAGAGTCCTTTGCCTAAAATGTGGCCAGGGAAGCTTTGTCTGGGTGTATAGGTCAGGCACCCAAGGGGTCACTTAGGGAAAGGAGGAGCAGGTGAGCACAGGGCCAGATCCCTTCCTGACTCACTTTGTTCTGCCTCCAGATTCCTCTCAGTGGCTAATTACTTTGAGTCACCATCTAATCCCAGGCTCTCCCCTGGGGACACTGGCAGGAACAGGACAGCATCTTGAGGAAGGTCAATCCTGGCACAGATAAAGAGCTCTGTGCAAGAAGAGTCCTCAGGAGTACAGGTTACCAAGCTATAACACACAGACTACAATGGACCAAGCACTCTGGGAGTCCATGAAGGAGCCTGTAGGTCCAGGGAGGAAGACCCATAAACAAGATGATCTTGACCTGAGAGGCTGGAGAGGTGCTTAGCAGTTAGGAACATGTGTTGCTTTCCCATAGGACCCAGATTCTATTCCCAGCATCCACACGACTGGTCATAGTTGTCCATTGTTGGTTTTTGACTCTTTGGGGACTCACCACCCAGCTCCCAAATAAATACACAGAGGCTTATTCTTACATATGAATGTATGGCCATAGCTTGGCTTGTTTCTAACCAGTTTTCCTAACTTAAATTATCCTTAACTACATTTTGCCTCTGGGCTTTTTAACTTTTCTTTATATATCTTTCTTTCCATCTTACTTCATGGTGACTGGGTGGCTGGTCCCTGGTGTCCTCTCCTCCATTTCTCACTTTTAGCTCTCTTTCCTAGATTTCTCCTCCTATTTACTCTCTCTGCCCACCAGCCCTTCCTATCCTCTCTCCTGCCTCGCTATTAGACCAATCAGGTCTTTATTAGACCAATCAGGTGTGTTAGACAGGCAAAGTAACACAGCTTCACAGAGTTAAACAAATGCAACATGAAAGAATGCAGCACATCTTTGCATCATTAAACAAATATTGCATAGTATAAGAAAATTAAAACAACTTAATATTCCACAACAGTCAGTAACTCCAGTACCAGGGAATCTGACATCCTCTTCTGACCTCTGATGGCACCAGGCATGCACTTGTATATACATACATATATACATATATGCATACATGCAGGTAAAACCCCATTCACAGAGAATGAGTCAATAGTTTTTTTAAAAAAATTAAGAAAATATCTTGACCATATATCTTTTTTTAAATATGTTTTATTTTTAAACATATTTAAGGCATGCACTTGTATATACATACATATATACATATATACATACATGCAGGTAAAACCCCATTCACAGAGAATGAGTCAATAGTTTTTTTAAAAAAATTAAGAAAATATCTTGACCATATATCTTTTTTTAAATATGTTTTATTTTTAAACTGTGTGTGTGAGAGAAAATGGGTAGGAAGAAGGGGTGGTGGGAGAGGATGGAGGGAAATAGAGAGAGACCAAAAAAGCAAGAAAGCTGGATTGAGAGCACGCACTTTTGCACTTTTGTGCAGGTGAGTACAATGTCCATCGAATCCAGAAGGTGCCAAGGCACTTGGAGCTGGAGTTACAAGCAGTTGTGAGCTGCCCTAATAGGTGCAATAGATGTTCAGAACTGAGTTCTGATCCTTTACAAAAGCAGTCGGTGTTCTCAACTGCTGAGCCATCTCTCCAGCCCTTGACCCTGTGTCTTAAGGAGAGAAGAAAAAACTGGTAGGATCAATGTATGTGTGTGTGTGTGTGTGTGTGTGTGTGTGTGTGTGTAAAAGCATAAATGTAGAAAAATGTTTGGCTGAGTGTGGGAAAACGGCGAGAAGATGAAGAACACAGATGAGCATGGAAGATGGTTGCTGGTACCACAGAGAGCACTGAATTCCTGGGTGAAGATTCCCGCTGTTATTTTTCAGGCTCAAAGAGAGCCATCTATTTTGAGCTCGAGAGTGACACCGAGAGCAGTGTGTCTAGAGGTCTCGTCTGACGGTGCAGGAGACCAGCATCAACCGCCAATGCCATCCCCCACCACTGGTCCACATTAGGACGGGGTCACGACTGAAGTCAAGATCTTCCCTCTGTTGCTGTGGTAAGGAAAGATGCAGGTTGCTGGTCTCTGGGAAGCCAAAGGTTTCCCATGTTAGGGTCCTGTGTCGCCATCCAGACTGGGTGAGAGTCTTGGAGAGAATCTCTCTTGATAGAGTTTTGCTCAGTACTCTTGTGGATACTGTCTGAGGTTACAATGAATGTCTCATGTGTTAACTTCCAAATAAAGGAGCAATAGTTGTGTGCTGGCCTAAGACCCTTGTTTGGTTTCACATTGGTAGAGAATTGAGCTAAAAACCAGCTACAAAAGAAAGAGTGTGGGTGAAATGAAGGCAGTGCCCCTTTCTCCTGGAAGACTGCATACATGTGGACAAAAAGGAACGGGAAGAGTCTGGCAGAGTTGCTGGGGTTTGGATCTGGGAGTTCTCCTGCAGCGCTGCAGCTCTTTCCGGGTGTGGGAATTCTGTCCCTATAATTAGTAACACAGTGCCTCAGTAACTGCGCCTTTTCAAAGCTGACCGGGGGAATGGATTCTTTTTCCAGTTCTAATATGAGAGATGATGTTTATATAAAATTTATTTTGCGCAACTGGACTATCAATAAGAGAGCAGGTTCAAAGTATTTTCATTCTCAATAAAACTCTGTAGCTGAGTGTTGTCTTTTCCTCGGCAATTTGCTCCACCCAAAAAGGAAAAGGAAAAATACATTTCCTAAGCTCTTTGGGATGTGGTCTGTATAAATCTTTTAAAGTCAGTAAGGATTTCTCTCTCTCTCTCTCTCTCTCTCTCTCTCTCTCTCTCTTCTTTCTCTCTCTCTATCATTCCTGTTTATTTTGCTCAGAATAGCTTGGAGCTAAGAGAAGTCTCCTAGGGTCCTGTCTAATTAAGAAGGAAAGTCTGGCCACACACAGGCCTTCACCCAGGATGGCCCCAGGGGAGCAGAGAGGCAGATGAAAGGGCCTGGCCACACAGTGGCAGCCTCCTCGCTTCCTTTAGTGTAGACAGTTGATGGTTTGGTTCTCTCCTTGTTCCTCTCCCTTCAACCAACAAGACATAAAACATGAGCTAGAAACCGAAGGTCATGAACCAAAAAGGTTTATGGTTGTGATGTTAGCGGTCAGCCTGGCTGTTGTCAATCCAGGCTCTACTTCTGTATCCTTATAGGCTTTCAAAAAGTGATTTAAAGTCTCTAGGTCTTTAGTTGCTCAAGTTTAATGTGGATACAATCTAATATATATATATATATATATATATATATATATATATATATATATATACATTTTTATTGATT